AGTCCCAACTGTTGAAGGGAATTCAGGAATGCTGCCATGTCTAATTACAACAGTTTCTCTTAAGATCACATACTATTTTTGTTACTGGCTAATTGAGATTCATCACCTGAGCAGTTCTCCAATATTTTATGAAATTCAAGATAACTGATGAGCTTATATATATGCTGCACCTCCCTGTCAGGAAGGAAACTCAATCTCCGACCTGGAGGGTGGAGGAAGGAAAAATGACACTAAATGCTAATGTTAGTTGCTACCCAACCCAAGGAGCTGGGCTCTGGAGAAACTAAAAACTGTATATGTTTAGATTTCTAGTGCATCAGTTACCCTTAATATCTAAAAGCTTAAGCCATTAATGGCAAAACATCAACACCAGTGCCAAGTTTGAAATTAATAAAGATTTAGGCCAGCAGCAAAAAGAATGTCTTAAATAAATCTTCAAAATCGAACATCACTAACCACGGCTAAAAAAGTACTCTACCTGTGAGAAGAAAAACACCTTCAAAATGTTATGGATGAACAAAGCAAACGAAATCTGACAAAAGCCCGCTTGAAGTACTTAAAATTAGAAGCTGGTTTTCAACATTAATGAGCGTGGTTGTGTTTGCACAGAAGTTCTGCCAATGGAGTCCCCTGCCCCCAGTGGGGTAGGATGAATGGTTTGTGATTTCCTGAAGGGTCACTGTCATCTCAGCTGTTTGGCCACAAATCTCAAATGTTGCTGCTCACTTTACAGCCCAGGACAAGCCTCTCTTGGTTCCTTGAAAAATCAGAAACTTCCTTAGATGTGAATTCTGAGCGAGCACTAAGGTACCTCTTAATGCCCTTCTCCACATGGCCTCTGCTCCAGCAGGAGTAGAAACCTGATATGCTTTCTAGGTGTTAGTTCTATTTATGTATCTATATAATACATGATATATATTTAAAAATACCAAAGTATCAAAATAAATGCTTCCAGCAACACCCCTCAGACTTCTGTATTCTTCGAAAGGAAGAACAACGTTTCAGCTTTGGAATCTCCCATGCTTGGCACTGTTTCTAATAAAGTTGGACAGAGGACTGGGATCTGTTTCCATCCTGCAAACCCAGCAGATAAACAGCCGCCCAGGGTTGTCCAGGGCTGTCAGCAGAGCTGCCACCACACTCAGCAAAAACCACCTTGGGTTCTGCAGAGTCAGAAGATTTCCCCACGCCACGGGGAATTCTGGCTGCCTCGCACTTTCGTGTTTCTGTGACGTGCCCTTGGTTTGTATTATTCTAAAAGCATCTTTTTATTTTAAAGGGATCTCTGGATCTCACCTAAATTTAAATTCAAGGATGAGGAAAGAAAGATCTATAAAGAAAAGCAAAAAGCCTTGGGAAACATTCTGGTGACATATATTACTACTATAATACAAATCATTAAAAACATGTACTCCAACACCTTATTTTTTAAATTTGAACACATTAAAAATTTTAATATTTTAAACAGTATTGAAAGGCTTGGATAATTCACAGCAATATCCACATAATGATATTATCTATTACTTCTACTTCAGATGATATCAATCTTGTAATTCCACATACTTTCAGTGAGATCTTTTCAGATCTCTGTCTACTCCTTTGATGTGATGATGGAGAAAACCATATGTGCAGATCCATACAGCAATGAACTTTGTAAGCCAAACACAAGAACAGCAGCTTCTACGAGAGAGTGGCTTGCCAAGACAAACAAGTTCTGCCAACATTTTAACACCACAGAAGGTCAGTTAGGTTATAATTAAATCTAATTACCATTCTCATGAATTGCAACATCTTTTCACTTGAAGTCGCTTAATGCTCAGAAAAGGATGAATTTTTCAAGATTTTCCAAGAATCACAGTAATGAGACATTCTAATCTTGGCTTTAAATCTGAATCATCACTTGCCATCATAAAGAAACAAGGCATGTCATCATTAAAAGGAAGAGATTTCAGCAGTTTATTCAACCACCAACACTTCCTCACTCCTGCTTTTCCCTATTCCTCTGCAGTAATTTTACAAGTTATTTTTCTCTTCTGCTCAGTACCACTCTGGGTTTTTTCATTATTTCACATTCTCTTTTTTTCCTTTCCAGAGTTTTATAACCTTTCTGCTTCAGCTCCCTATTTTTAATCCTCTATATATCTTCAGCTCTATTACTGTTCCTGTCTGCTCCCTCACCAAGCTGGGGAGTCTGATGGCAGTAACTTTCCTCTGTTTCCACAGACATTCTGACTGCTCCTTGGACAGAACTGCCTAGGGAACCACCTGAGATTATCTCATCGAGGGAAAAGGTGAGACAAAAATTGCTGATGCAAAGACTTCTTTTCTTCCCCCATTCCTTTTCTCCCAGGCCAACAGAAAGCGAGAGAGGAAAAAAGCCAGAAGTCATTTGGCTGCTTCTCCTCCATCGGGAGTGCAAAACCTGGCCATGCTCGTCCTGGTCTCGTTACCTGGGCAAGCAGCTCAAAAGCCTGGGCTATGAATGTCACCACCTCACAGGGGAAACCCTTCAGCACCTCAGGTTTAGTAGGTGGGGGCTGCAGCTTGAGAGTTGGCATCAGCTGCTGTCACATGTGGCCATGCCATGTGCATGGTGAAAAAAGTCTCTCTCAATTGCTAGGATGGCCCTCCAATAAAATTATAATTTGATTCCTCTGGAGACTGGAAAACATCAAGGACCATTTGTTTTCAGACTCAAATAAAGAAACTGGAGAGCTCAGCTTGTAGCACACTGTGCCCAGCAGCACAGACCCCCAGCAGCAGGAGCACACAGCAGCGGTGCTGCCAACGTCACCCACGTGCCTGAGTCCAGCATTGCATCACTTGGAACCTGGCTCCACTGCTGCAGGGCTGCTCTGAAAGCGTCAGGAAGGGCAGGATGTGATGAGCAGTCCTGCTCCCTGCACACTGTGATCCTTAATCCCTCTCATCAATGCTCTCCTTCATTAACTCCCATCAACTAACAGCACGAGGCACGGCTTTGTGAAAGTCACCTCGTGCCTCATACAGCTGTGCTCTCACACTGCAAAGAGTCCCTCAATCAATAAAAATGACAGTTTCAGTCATCACATGGTACTTCAAGTTCCACCTGTCCTACAGGAGCTTTACATGTCATTAAGGAGTTAAGATGTCACTCTACTTACCAACCCTTATGTCATGTAAGCCTTTTATTGTAGGTGGGGCAAAACACAAATCCACAGCACCCTTTTGTTTACTTCCAATTATATTAATCTCTTGCATCTACAAGATTTACTTATCCTCACACATGTTATTCATGCTTGAAGCCCTGCAAAAGCACACAGACTGAAATCCTTGACCCACTGGTGTTGCTGGAGAGTTTGCAAGGGAGTTCCAGAAACTGGATTTTTGTTTCCCTTCCTCAGCTAATATATTTCTTCTGTGATTCCTTTAAATCCAGTTGTTTCTTTTTGCAGTCTTACTGGGTTGAAAAGAAGTCTGAGATGTAAAAGGATTAAGCTGTTTTTCTATAACTTACAATGGTGCAAGATGGTCCTGCTGTATCTGGGGCTAGAACAGTGTCTCTGGTTATGTTTGCTTGGCAGTTCAGCATCTTATGACTATCCCTGTTAAGTCCACAAAATTCAAATTGTCTGCTGATGAAAGAATCCCTCACAACCTACTACTGTACAGACAGTCCATAGACTCTGTATTATAAGACCATTGACAGACCAGGTATTCTATTTCAAGGTAATTTGGTACAGGTTAAGTGAAACTACAGAATCAAATTGGTTCAAATATTAGTTCAAATATAATTTCGTGTTCTCTCACCTAACAAGATAAAAATCCATACAGATAACAGTGCAATAACAAGCAAAAACCCACAGCTTGTTCCTCTGCTTTCCAAACCTGAAATCCATTATTTGGAGATCCACCACTTACCAGAGCACACATACCAGAGTACAGGCTGAGCAGATGGTTCAAAGCTATCTGTCAATCCATTTGCAGTTCAAAACAGTGGTGAACTGCTCCAGCTGTTTTCCAGATCAAAAATATTATTGTCATTTTGCTATCGCTCCGTGCTGAGGGTTATGTAACAAAAATGCACATGTCCCTCTGCCTGGAATGCAATTAATTTCCTCCCTCCCCACTGTGAGTGGTAAGTAACAATTCAGACAGTCTGGATGCTTCAGTTTTGAGCACAGCCAGAGATGCAACCCTAGAATTACTCCACGTGGTAACCCACTATTTGTAAGATGCCAGCTTTCTGGAGGTCTTACAGACAGGGTGTATTCTGCAGTTTGGAAAAAAATAAACACCATCATCCTGTTTATACATGGCCTCTTACTGTCTGTGGGGTACTCTGAATGCTTCCCTGTAGTTCTTTAGTTTAACCATAGACTTTGCTTTGTGCTGGAATTTTAAGACTTCTAAATAAGTGTGCTAACTAGATAAAGCAATTGCCTCCAATCTGAAATCAGCCACTATACTTGCTGTACATTTTGGTATGCAAAAATCAGGCATTGTACACATTTAACCTTAAAATAGTGGCATAATCCCATCTTAGTTTACAAATATCCAAACATCATGCAGGTGGTTTAATTCAGATGCTCCATAATGCTTAACCATTCCTTGGAATTTGCTTATATAAAGAGAACAACTGGAACTCCTTTGCTTGGAACAGCACACTCAAGAAACAAAACTCATTTGCTCTCTGCAATCTTTTCTGCAATCTGCCTTTCATCTCTCCAAGTGCAGCTAACCCCATGATATTCATATAGCAACTATAATATCTTCAGGACAGGAGCTGCCTTTCTGTAAAATGTTTGCACCATACTTCACTTCTCTCTGTTGTTCCTGTGACAGAAATACAACGGGGTGATCAACTGTCCTCCAGGGTGTCAACTGAGATGAAACATTAACTTAGTACTAAACTGCAGCAATTTCCTTTAACGTGCTATTACTTGGTGCAGCTTGTTCTGGATTACTGGTTTACAGATTCCCTCTGCAGGGAGCACCTGCAGAGGTTTTACTGCTCTTACCTGGTTAAATAGGCCAGAGCCCGCTCAGATCCCGATGGCTTCTGGGGCGCCGCCTTTTTAATGGAGATTCCAGCTTCCCTCATCAGCTGTTTCTCCTTCTTCTTGCGCTCTTTTTTTAATTTTCTTTCCAGTTTCCTCTTTTCCTCTGGAGTAAGTTCTTGCTCTTCCTCTGCAATAAGTTCTTCCTCTTCTTTTGTTGCCTGAAATAATCGACATTTAAATAAAGTGTTTATATTTCCATACGAAAGTGGAACAAAATGTGCATAAATTCAAATAAAAGGCACAGGTAATATTCAAAAAACAAGCTTCAGGATTCATGTTTTTACTGTTCACTGTACTTCCACTGCCTCTCTGCTCTGCCCAGTTCACAGAACTGCAAATGCTGCACCAGCAGAGATCTGTCGAACTGCCCTCTGTAGATAATGATGCTGTTCTGAGCACCTTCAGGTACCTGAGCACCTCTAGCTATGTATTAAACATCATATCTAAAACTTCCCATGCTGTTTGTTCTCCCACACTCAAACTTGAGGGGGGCATGTAAACAGCAGAGGCTGTTTCATAGTGGAAGAAGGGTTTGGATTTTTTTTTTAGCATACACACATTTCAGTGGGAGCAGCAGGGTTTCCCTGAGATTCTCTGTTTCTGCTTTTTGTGTAGCCACACACTTCCATGGACTGAGAAAACCTCTGTCTGCCATACAGAGGCTTCAGCTCGATTATGCCAAGGGAGAAGATGTGACAACTACCATCTTCATCCAAGACCACTTGGAGAAACTTTAGCAATCTTGAGGGAACATATGCACAATATCTTCAATATCTTCAATAAACACATACAGAGAAGTATTGCACAAAGGTTGGCGTTTCTTTAGGTTTGTAGACAGACAGTTAATTATTCACATCTGAAACCATATTGCCATAAATATATGCATCAGCTTATCCGAAAATGAAAATAAATATTTCATGTACAGATGAAGAGCATTAAATAGACACATCGAGTTTATCACATATCCAGTGTGAGATTACACTGTGTAGAAATAAAACACTGTTCCATAGCAAGATGAGATTGACTCCAGGGATTCCTATATGTCTGAAAGAGGTACTCTCTGCTAGAGCCTGGGATACCCATGGAGGCCAACTGAGTGAGAAAGAAATGCTCTTCCTCCTCTCTCTGCTCCCTCCTCACCTATTTGAGGAACCCATAACTGAAACCTGAATGCACAAGATCAACTGCTTTATGGCAAGATTGGTTAAAAGCACATTATAAACTCACAAATCCTTAATGTTATGTCAATTTGTGCTAGTTGAGTGCTTTCAAACACAAATCCACCCAAAGAGCTAAATAAGGTTATTCTCGCTGACATTCAACCAAAGGATGTTAAACAAGACAATACCTGAACATATCTTTATTTGCCAAAGACACCTGCTGGGGTCTAAACATTTGTTCAGAGTCAATTCACCTACCATGTAAGTTTACTCTGACTCATCTTTTCAGATTCATGCTTTCACAGACCAAAGAAAGGGTAAGAAAGCAAAAATTAGAATAAATGGAAGTAAAGAGGATTTGCTTTTTTTCGTCCAAAACACTTTTTAGCTACTTTTGTTGAAATGCCAGCATTCATTGCAAACACATGCAAAAAAAAAGCAACATATGTTGCATTTGTATAGAAGGCATTTTATAGTTCATGCTGAGAATAAAATAATATTTAGGGTGAAGGTAGAATTAAATTGTTATACAGGAAACAACGTTTTCATTTGAAAAGCCACCCTGGTTCTTAGTAAAATAACAGTCCAGCCACACAAAGCCCTGGAAAACACTGAGGGTGGTCATTTATAAAGTGTTTGTAAAAGATTACTACAGCAGCTGTCCAACAGACGACACACTACAGTTAATCTTCTTTTAAAAATAATGTAATGAATTTGTTTACTTTTCTGTGAGCCATGAAGCTTTCAAATAAAGTGACTGTGGCACATCATTAGAGCTGCTCTGATAAAGAGGCCTCTGCTTCTTCATACGTACAGTAAATGCATATCTCGGTGCCTCCCCTTCCCCCCCACATTCCTGGCATTATCAAAAAGCTTTTTATCCCTCTCCCCCGACCGCTCCATTAAAAACAAAACAAGTTGCTCCCTCCCTGTAGGTCCCAACGTAAATACCGGGCCCTAACAACGTTTGTTTCCAGCATCACGACTGACGAGCCGTGGGCTGTCCGACACAAGAGCATTGTTCTCCTGCAGGGCTGCGGCTGTCCCAGCCTGAAAGAGTCGGGGTTTACAGCTGGAGGTACCTTCTGCTGGCCCACAGCATCATTCCAGGAAAACTGGATTCATCAGGCTTCTGTCTGGGACTGCCAGCACACACCCCACGAAAAGTCCTCACAACCTCACAGCTCAAACAACTTCTCTGGTTCCAACTATACTTTTATCCATCCATGTCAACTTGGTGAATTTAGTCATCGTATGTGCCACAATCTGTCCTTGACTGGTTTTTAATTTGAAAGCCTTATGTGCTTCAGAAAATACCTGCATTCTACCTACTGAGGCTGAGGGTAACTTTATCGCAATTTGTATATAAAAAACATTTCCCCCGAACCTGGGACTCGAAAGAAAACAAAACCAAACCTTTTACTGGAATTTAAATCCTAGCTGTGTTTATTATTTATTACTTTATTGATGCACCTCTTTAAATCAATAGCCTTATTTTTTAATTTCTCTTTCTCCAAACCATTCATGTGACTGTTCTTCTGAAAGGTGTTCCCAGTTTGTGACCCATTTGGATGCAGAGTTTTAGCGTTATGTCATTACTTAAATTTTAAAAACCCAACCAACAGGACTTCATTGTTTTGAGGTCATAAATATTCCACGTTGTCTCCTTCTATATTTATAAAGTGACATCACAATTTGTAGTGCTGCAATTTAGTCTTAACTACAACATTGTAAAGTCCCTATTTGAGTGTGTGAGACACTTGTTTATTGACGTGATAAATTTAAAACACATGCACACAGAAAAACACAACACTTGCTTATTTGCAAAGCCTGCTGAGAGCTACCACACCACCTTGGATCCTGGGCTCATTAGATCTCAATCTAAACAAGGTCAGGCCAGGTCAGCACACTTGAATGAATGACATTCAGAGGAGAGCCAGTGTTTTCTCGTGATTAAGGAGGTGGGAGTCTTCCACTTGGAAGCTTTCCAGAAGGCCTGAAAAGGTGCTAAAAGGGATATTGCCACTGGATGCCATATTTTGAGTAAAAGGCAGACTCCCAAATCTTTCACACTTACGCTCATAAAAACCCACGTCAACTGTGCAGGGCTACGGAGATGTGAGGTTGGGCATCTTCCAGCAAATTGCCAAAGTTTATACTGTACCCTGTCCATCTGCAGGCAAAGTGCTGTGACTGCCAATACAGTGCCTTTCATCAATGCCAGTTTCCAAATTTCTGAACTGTGTGTAAATATAGCAATATGCTGTAAATAGTCTAAGACATCTGCCTCAAAATATCCGGAGGCTTCAGCTGTGGCAGTTTTAGATACCGGTTAAAGTTTTCCATCATTCTTTGCAATCTGGAAATACTGCACAAATTTGAAACATTTTATAAGTGGTCTTTATAAATGAGCTTACCCATCATAAATGGGGAGCCAGCTCACACTGAAGGGAAACATTTAATAGTGTAGAGCAGCCCTGCTAAGCAATTCAGAGCAGAGAAAAATAAGTAGAACTGCAAGAGAAAACCAGCAGAAAGATGTACAGGTTTTCTTGAAGGTATCTGACCCTTTTTTATTTCAGCAAGAGTGGCAGAACCAAATAGGTGTAGGTTTTCAGGGACTGCACCTGCATAAAAGCTTGTACTGCCAGGGGACTATGAACCATAATAGCTGAGCAAGCAGCACCCAGACGGGATTAACAGCACACTAATTGTGTTGTATTTTCAGCAGAGCACTAAGTGCATTTTTAAATTTGTTTCCGGATTTATAGTTACATGAAAGTCCTTGACTGTCTCATACCTGAGTAGAACCGAAGACATCTCCTGAAGACTTCTGTTCCTCCTCCTCGCCCATTACCGTGTCCAAACCTCCCACATTTGCATCCCTGGTTGCCTGCTGCCAGCACAGAATAAAGTCAATGTAGTCAGAAACTCTGAAGAACTGCCACAACCAACCTAATACTCGTCCATTAAATGTTGCCTTTATGATTCGCCTGTGTAGGTCTGAACTTTCTGCCTGATCAGGGGTTTGGCTTTGCTGCCAAACCTATAACAGTAACCACAGACCAAGCCACAAGACCAAATTCACTATTTATTAGTAACAGTGAATCCAGCTCCTCCAAAACCAACAGACTTTTATCCTTTCCTCCCAGCACAGCACCACAAGTCTGTACAACAGCAAAGCAAGCAACAGCAGAAATTCAAAGGGAAAAATAACAGCGACAAACATATAAAAAGGGCGTCAAATTTTTGAACTCCAGAGAGTTCAAAATGGGGGGGAAATAGATTATATGGTTTATTTCATAGTAGAAGCATTGTATCACCTTGTTTGTTCATGAAGCTCACGTTATTTCATAACTTTTAATACAGAGAAATGTCAAAAGGGGCTTTGTTCGCTGACCAAGAGCTACCGACCCGTCACATAATGGCTTCTGCTTACGAGTAGCCTCCTGCCCCAAAAATGCCCTGTGAACAATATCAGCATGCAAAACGTCCTGTTCCTGCCTTACACAATACATATGAACCCTGATAAATAACTGGCCATCTGCCGGCTTAAAAACAAAAAGCAGAATCTATAAACACAGTTCAAAACCCACAGAGAAGAAAGGCTGGCAAACCCTTACACACAAGGTTCATAAAAGAAAGATTGACAAATGATTTACTATTCGAGGCTGTGCTCCAACTACAGCTAGAGAATTTGCATAGAACAGTTCATGGCCATACTGAATTTAAATAATTATTTTCTATCATCTAGAACCTTTTGAAAAGAAGTATGACCAGAGAGGCCACATGAAATTTCATTATCATGCAGAAAGCAAATTTTAAATGAAAAGCAATATGTGGAAGTACTCCTCCTTACATCATGTCTGTCGCACTTACAGAGGAAGATTTTTTAAAATTTATATGCTGCTCAAAGAAAAATAACAAATTTTTCACAAAAGCTAGGTGTTTTTAGAATCTCAACTCCTTGCAACAAAACCACTGGGAATAATTTATATTAAGTTGATTTGGAAAGGTTTCTGTAGTTTCAACCCAGGCAGAGAAGCCTCAAACAAGTTCTGAAGGAAACCAGATTTAAATAAGAACAGGCTTTTTATCTTTCTGCTCCAGGAAAGGATTCTTTTTGTGGTCATGTAAATGCCTTTTTTTTTAAAAAAAAAAAAAAAGCCTCCTTGTGTACACAGCTATAGTATCTCAGGAGCACAAGTGATCAGGTAGCATTCTAAATCTGCAGCTGTAATTTAGAATAGATGCACCTTGATTAGCTTGAAACCCAGCTTAATTTAAAACTATGTGATCTTTGCATGTCTCATAGGTTTACAGAAAACTGTGAAGACCCCATAAAGTGTTATCATTAGCAACTGCTGAATAAGAAGAAATTGAACAATTTACCAAATTAAATGAAAGCATTTACAGGCACACAGAATGCACGACTTACAGAACATAGCTTGTTGAATTCCACTTTATAGATTGTTTGCTCCCATAAAGTACATACTGTAGCAGATTAGGTTCTAAGGCATAAATTAGTATCATATTGTATTTCTCATTTTTCTCCACTGCTATCACAACCCTGAATGCAACAGAAATATTTCAGACACCACCGCAACTGCAGGCTCAGGGAATGCAGTTTTGCTTCATTTGCAACTACAGCGCTGCCAGGAATTTTCACATATTTGTTGGAGGATTTTGCTTACTCCCTTACCCTTAATTAAACCACGTTAACCAATCAAGAGATGGAATTAAAAAAAAAAAAAAAAGAGAGAAAAAGAAAAGAAAAGGAAACCCCTTGGAAGTCATTTGTATCCACATCCTTGTGGCTCACACACAGCCCTTTTAACCCCTCCCCAGAAACACGGAGGAATTTTAATAGAAGGAGCACGAGACTGTCGCAGCACTCGGCGTTTTCATTGCCACCAAAGTCGTCCCCTTTAGGGGTGCTGACAATTTCTTCCGAAGCTTGAAAAGGCTTTGGGCTGCGAGAGGAGGTAGAAGCAGAGCAGGGGCTGTTTTGAAATCCTTGCTGGAGAATTAGAAAAAAAATAAATAAACCAACCCCAAACCACGAGCTCGATCTCCTCCAATGAAAGAGGTACCACAGGGTGTAGGCAGGTTGCCAGGCGAGCTCGGCAGCGTGACCGCACTGCATTGAGTTTCTTTAATGAAAGCCAGGAAAGAACACATTACACAGTGTTTCTTCTGAGAGCCAGCTAGCCTCCAGTGATTGAAATCAATAAAAACAGTCGGCAAGGGGCCCAGTGGGGGAAGAGAGAAATCTCCACTACAGCATTCAGTTTGCTTTCCACTTTCTCCCTCCCCCTCTAAAGTTAAACTCTGAAGATCACCATGACAAGCTACTTTGCTTCCAGCGCTGGGAAGACGCTGGTGGGGATTTAAAGGAAGCGAGCACTTTCCTTCGCCTCCCTGCCTTCGCTCTCCCCCCAGCGCGAAGGAAATGAAAGGCTTGTTTGGAATTTGAATCTCGCCTAGAAAAACTTCATTGGACAAGTGCATCGTCCTGCATTTCAGGAAAGGGATGGATTTTACGGTCGGAGAATGCTAAAAGGTGAGAGGGGGAGGAAAAGCAGGAATCTGATCCAGCCAGAGCCCAGGAACAGGCTAGGATGTCCAGCCCGGCGCAGGGGACCTCTGGAGCTGCGGGGAGGAATGCGAGCAAGCGCCTGAGATCATCCACATCCTAAGGCAGCTGGAACATTGGGAACACGTGACCGACACACCGACCCAGGTAAGCAGAACCCGCTTTTATCAAAAACTCTCTGTACCGCGCACGAAACCGGAGCGAGACCTCTCTGCCCCAGCCTCCCCTGCCTGCCCCGCGTCCGCCCTCGTTAACCTCGGGAGACTTAACGCTAAGCTTGTCCCGTCTGAAAACCGTGTCAGGCCACTAATCCTCGCTGAACTATAAACCATGCACAAAAGCCCTTTGTTTACCGGTTTTGTGCTGAATTTGCGAGCTGACAAGGTAGGACAGGGCCATTGCACGGGTGCAGCCCCCCCCCAGGAGCTCCCGCTCCACGAGGGCCCGCTCGGAGCAAGGAAACACGGCTGACACCGCACGCTGGAGCAGACTGTGATCTGAGACAGCGCCAGTAATGGATTTCTAATATGGTCCATATTTATCTATTTTATTTATGTATTTTAATCACCATAGCAGCCACATACAGAACATACTTGCACCGAGTTCCATGTGCTGCTCTGTACCACGAATTACAGCAGCGTGCATGCACGGGGGCAAGGCTGATCGCTTTGTCAAAAAGAACTTTGCAATTAGTTGTTCATACAGCCAAGGGGGATTTCTGGCACCTTGTTTAGGAATGACTGACACAGGTTTATGCAGCACATGTATATTCTGCCATTACCCTAATGCATGCAGGTTTTATCCCTAACAAAAATGGGAAAGGCACAGATAACAGCTGTAGATCACAACATTCTTCTAAAGTTTTTGGCCAGCTTCAGATGATTTATGTAGACTTCAGTGAGGCACAGAGGATGAAATCAAAGCCCGCCTTCTGCAAAGCAAGCAAAAATGATGATATCTACATCTCTTTTCCAGCAGCAGCAGGAATTCACTGGAACAGATAATAAATAGGTGCCTGTGGAGCAAGAGCAACAGTGTTTGTCCCCTCCATGCTGGTCATCATTAGATGTTGACAGCAACACACAAGCTCAGTCCCAGAGAGGGTTGGGGAAGGACTGGATGCCTCCACTTCCACTTATTTGGCACCTCATGATCCCCAACCTGTAGGGTACAAAAGCCTGGTTGACTATGAAGGTAGAAAGATGAGACTTCCAAGCATCTCCTCCCTTTCAGTACCAGAAGACAGAATGCACTAATTCAGTACAGCAAGTGCAGATGTATTTCTGCAGGTGCAATGTTGCTCTTTCCTTGGAAAATGCACGCCTTTTAAGGGTCATTTTATAATTTTCACAACACATGGAAGTGGATGACTCACACACTTACAGAATGACCTGGGGAACACTTCCATGACCAAAAGTAAAGGATGTAAGTTTAAGCATGAACTGTTCTAATAAATCTATGAATATAGCTGAGGCAGTATTTAAATAGTAATAAGTTGTTACATGGATTTATTAATCCAGTTTTGAACTTTTCACACAAAACAGTCACAAAATTATAGCCAAAATGTAATTAAAGAACAACAATTTACAACAAAAAAGCAAAGTTGTGATTCATAACAGAATAGGACCCTATATGAGGTTTTGGTCATATCCACAGACCCATTATTCATTTTTCAGAACGAGTTCTGTGTTTTCCTCCCCTGCACAGATCCTTTGCAGAAATGATAGCACCTTCATAGCTTGGGAATCACAGCAGTCACTCCCACACCAATCAACAAGTCTGTTTTGCATGGCTCTTGGAGCTAAATTTATCCTTATGCAGAAGAACTCATTGAAGTCTTTTTTTAACATTTCAAACAAGGAAAGCTTAGGTGGGTCTTACACAACACATATCACTTGTACTGACATTCTCAAGCTCAAGTGATATTCCCTCCCATTACTCCCTCAGCAGAAATATAAATATTATCTTTAAAGCAGAGTGCGGGATATTTTTGTTCAAAGGGATGTGTTTTTCAGAAGCCAAGCGGTGTGAGTTTCCACAGCACTTACTGTTAATGGAATATATTCTTTTCAACCACACAGTATAGAAAAAAAGGTATTTTCTCAATCAGAAGTTTTGATCAAATACAGATATTCTAGCAGTCATACCACAAGGCAGGATTTATCACTCTTCCTCAGTCATGTCAATGTTATTAAAGCAGATTCCCTGCACAGTGACAGAGTCCTTCCAACTCTCCCTTTAGAGTGTGGAGATCTGGAAGGATCTCATGTTGCTTTGCTGAGTTGGATACAACAAAATAGAACTAATGGGAACCAATTTCTCCCATTTCTACTAGTCTTGATAGTCCCATGTCTTTGGGAGTACTTTGTCCTCAACAGTGAATCACATCTTCACCATAGTCAAGAGTTCTTAATAGTTCATGCCAATTGTCCTTACAGAAACAAATGCTGGTAAAAGAGCTGTTTGAAAACAGTCCACAAGGTTTTGAAACAGTCAGCAAAGCAGATGAAATTATTTTAAAAGTGTAAGGACAAATATTTTGGTTTAATCTCACCTATTTAAGATTTTATGAAGGGAAATATCTGGTATTATACAAAACAAGTTGAATGCTATTCAAAAAATGTGGAAATTCAACAATAAAGGTGCAAACATCAGAGTCTGCTGAACACCTGGATAGCCCATCTTGGGTGAAACATAATACTCATGCCTACACTGCTGGAGAAAGAGCATTGCCATCCCTTTCAAATGAACATGATCTGACACTTCTTGAATGTGGTAAAGCTTCAAGGTGTCTCCTTTCTCATTTACACCAGTGGTTCACATTCACAGTACTGGATTCACTCAGCTGAGCATATTTAGTTTGCTCATTCTCAAGTTGACAGCTCCTCTGCAATGTACCCATTCTGCCTCAAAAGTGGAACGTAATTAACATACAGCTGGAGAAGGTACAGTTTTCCCATCTATTGGAAAGACTAGTGAAGCAGAAGACAAAATATTAAATGAAAAATAAATGGTTATCAATACCTAAGAAAGGTGGTTTTCCTTACAATTCAAACGGGAATCCTTGCATTTGGCTTAGGAAGACATTTTTGTTAGAAACAACAAAGTCATCAAAACCTGTAAAAAACTTGATACCTCTTTCCCAACAAGTTGTCACTATCTTCAGCTCCACAGTTCAACAGGATGTGTGGCTTAGAGGGAATGAATGTCCTGGGGTAGATACACTCTACTCTCAAACCCTCTGTATATTCTCCCACATATACCTCAAAAAAACTTTTATCCAATTTCTCATTAGATAAAACTATCATCACTGCTAGTTTGCTATACTAAGATCTTTTTTAAAACCTAGCAGAATGCATTTCATACATGCCTACATTCACATACACTCAACTGCACACACACGTGTATGCAGGAACATGCAACTTTCACTTTGTGGTGAACAAGACCCGAGAGGAGACACTCAAAAAAAGAGAGTGGGCAGGATTCATTTCATTAGCAGAATGTGATCACTTCATGATTCAACAACCCTAAAACAGAAACCCACAGTAACACCCAGAACACAAACAGCCCCTCAACCGTCCTGCAGTTTCATACCATGACAACCAAGCAAGGGTATCAACAACCTCAGCTCATGTCTTGCCACTTGCTTTGCTTTACAATGGGATAAAGGATTTGGGAGACAGAGGATTGGACCCTCACTTTGGTTGTGAAAAGAGAGACATCTTAACACAAAATAAGGAATGAATGTGATGGATGTTACTGATTTTTGCATTTGACTTTATGTCTAGTGATAATCAGAGATGGGTGACCTAGGCCTTGACAATTAATTTCTGTGAAATTATTCTTCTTCTAAATATTTATAATTTCCATTAATAGACCACTGAACACTGGAATGCAGAATTTGAACCTGTTTAAAGAAACAAGTATTACAAAGCTGTACTGTAAAACTGTATCTCAGGTACAGTTCAGTTCCCACTGAACATCCTATTTAAGTTTTATCTCAAGGAGAATGGTAAAGGAAGAAAGTTTCTAAGAGCTGGCATGAATTACACAGTCTAATTTTCCTCCAGGTCTGCTTGCTGCTCTTCAAATCACCATGATCAAGTGCAAGTGGCACTGCACAGGCTCATTTAACATGACTGGTAGGGAGAAAGAATTTGAATATATTGTTTGGGAGTTTGAAATGGTCTCCTGTTGAAAGTTCCTTAAGGAAATTCCATCTATAATTTCAGCATTTTGAAAGTCTCTGAAAATAAAGTGCAATCCATTCCCAGATCCTGTTTATTTAGCAACACTCTACATGCTTTCTGCTCTTGTGAGCTCCCCGATAACTATAAATCTATGATACCAACTTTTAAGCTCTCCAAGTTTATCACACAGCCCTGGAATACTGAAATGACATCTGGTTTTTATAGCATCAGGTGTGCCCTCATTATGCGTTTGTGAGGCAGAGCAGAAAATTGAAAAACAATTATGATTTAAGAACCTAAATTAAAACCTGTTGACTGTTTAGAAAAAATGTTCCATAAAACCTGTTTGTATTCCAACAG